AACCAAGAATAAATATGGTGGGGCTTAATCAAGAATAAATAAGGTGGGACTCAACCAAGAATAAATAAGGTGGGGCTCAATCGAGAATAAATATAGTGGGGCTCAATCAAGAATTAATATGGTGGGGCTCAATCAAGAATTAATATGGTGGGACTCAATCGAGAATAAATATGGTGGGAATCAATCAAGAATAAATCAAAAATAAATATGGTGGGACTCAATCAAGAATAAATCAAAAATAAATATGGTGGGGCTCAATCAAGAATTAATATGCTGGTACCCCCAAGGTGAAATACAGGAGACATCTTTTATAGGCATCACAACAGTTCCCTCGGAGCATCCTTTCATAGGCAACACAACAGTCCCCTCAGAGCACTACAGTATGTCATGAAGAGAGAAACTAACTACAATTAGAAGTATTGACTTAGAAGCATAAACACTGAAACTTCACTGCCACTGGACAAACAAGGCAGAAGTATAACAAAATGGTATTACTGATTTATATAAACCTCAACATCAAGGAGGAATATTTTGTAGATGAATTTACAACCTGCATAAGGAGCCATGGTGGAACAGATTCAGTTTAGCTGCAGGATTATTGTATTACTATATTCAGACATGGGGAGCTGCCATTGTGTAGTGGCTAGACCACCTCTGGCCCGAAGCTCTAGAGTCTGAATACGCAAGGAGTTGGATTTGTTTAAAACTGACTTTGGTTCCCAAGTGAACCCAGCCTAAAACGGGTGCGTGGTAAAGTCCTCAAAAGTAAAGATGGTTGGCATGATGCTGGCCACATCACCCATTAAGTTTCAACTAAGTGGTCTATAAAAATATGAGGCTAGCATCATATATCCAATGACCAACTGGTGTGGAAAAAAGCAAGTTACTTGACTATATTCAGAGATGCATGCAGTCTTTTAGTGACACCTTTTGCCTTAATGAGTTTTTTTAAAACATTTGCCAGGTGATCATGAACCCAAATATGTGCCGAACTGGGTATGTTTACTATTGACCTGCATGTAAATAATGTTGACCACATCACTGAGTGCCAAGCGGTCAATCAAACAAACAAGGGAGTAGCACCATAAGCGCCTGATACATCTCATGGCGTGAGAGGGTCTTTTACTTCCTGTAATTAGGGATTAAAACTGGGACACATGACGTCTGAGACTGATGTTGTTACTGACCCCAACCGCTCCCCCTTTTTCCCAGCGTCTTTGTGAGTTTAAAAAAAATATTACTACCATACAGTGGTGTATTTCTAGTTTATTTAAGGTAACCTCTTAGGTTTCTGAGATGAAAATGTCAGTCGGTGACATGCAAATGTAACAACTGTTTTAGTGGACAAGTCTACAAAAGTTCTTACACTGCAGCAGCTAGTGGCAGAAAAGTTACGAATGCCAGCCTCATACATCATTGAGTGTGGGTTCTATTCCATGGTATGGCAAGGGATTATGATTATCTATAAGAGATTCTATAAACATTCTGGTCTGCTCACACTGCTAGAGCAACTATTTTATTACTGATACCTCAAAATATTTCCTAGCAAATATACCCTATCAATGGCACTAAAACTGTCAATGCTCTCATCAGTGAAAATTCAGATGAGGCAGACGTACTGATCTACATAGATGGATCCGTTATACACCAACAAAGAAGTGCATGGGTGTTCTCAGCAGGCAGAACAGTCAAAGAAGCCAACAACGCCTTCTCCATGACGATGGAGGTGATGGCAGTACTGCAAGCATTCGCTTGGCTCGAAACACAAAACTACACCGGCAAATGTGTACCCAGTGTTTCAATGAGTATGATCTGGAGGGTTCAGGCAGGTTCGACAGGAAGGCAGTGGTCTGAGTCATTACAGAAGTCCTTTGTGCATGAAGTCACCTTTGTTTTTATTCTGTGATACGCGGGCGTCGATGGGAATGAAAGAGCTGATAGGCTGGCTGGATCCGCCATCCCTACCAACAGACAACCTATGGATCATGCTGATACTGTTAATGCCCTCTTGTGGAATGGGAAGGGTGGAAGACTTTAGGAGCAGTGAATCCACATCACTCGCCAGAATGACAGATTTGGGAGTTAAGATCAACACAGCAACAAATGAGACACACAACAGGCACATTAGAGGACTTGTTAATCAACACAGAACTGGTACTTTTAGTCACCGGATGCTGGGGTGCATACTGACGGGAGGATCTGAACACCTATGGACATGTCCTGAGTGCTATGATGATAAGCCAACTAACTAACTGTCATCATTTTTTTCTTTAGTTTAATCTGCTGCATCTGTATGCTTTCCTTGAATGTGGACTGTCTTGGCTCGATTCACAAATCAAACAAAAACAGCCCAATGGATGTAACTTCTGACTTTCTCACAGGCCTGGCCAATGTTTCTGGCACAGTGACCTCTAGAAGTTTATGAAAGACTAATTCAGACAAGACACAGGAAGCTAGTTTTGCTTCTGCCTGATAATTATAGTGTATTTTTTGTTTTAAATACAAGTCATGATTAAATGCAGTTTATCCCACATGAGATATTACAAATGTCTGAACGGTATATTAGTTAGTCTGGCATAGTAAAACAAAGAATATATAAGGAAGTATGCACACACCTTGATATGTCAAAAGTTACCGTAGGCATTCAGACATGCATCCCACAGTTTAAGAAGACAGATACTGTTCACAAAGAAGAATTTAAAAAAAAAGTGGATCCAGGATACTTTTACTGCTTTTTTTTTTGGATGGCTCAAAGTGGGGGTAACCACCTGCAACTATTCACAATATCAATGTGTCACTCTCTGCTTTGTAAGGCAGCAAGTGGTTCAAACTCAATGTGTTCTTTGAACGGTATACCACCATTTACTGAATGGGATATGTAAAACTATGGCAACCTTTGCTGATAATCCCATGAGCTTGCTTGCATCACACACTTTGATAACTCTGCCAAACCAGTTACCGTAGGCATTCAAGAGAAATTTGACTAAAAAGCTCAACACAGTTTAAGAACGTGCACACAAAACAATACAACGTAACACTGTTCACTTTTTCAAACAGAAGTGAAATACACAAAAGGAAAGAGTGTAGATCCAGGAGCGACGTTTTGTGATGCTGTTTTTTTTGAAATAAAATAAAATAAAGTGGGGCTAAAAAAGATAGTCACAATACTGGGAATCAAAGAAATCAAGTGTTAATGATATATAAATGCTTTGATAAGGCATGGCATAGAAATAAAATAAAATCATTAACATTTAAAATGTGATAAGATTAGAACTCTTTGAAGGTATGTTGGATATTGATACCTCTTGGACTAATTCCAGGCTGGATAAGGCGATTTTCCAAAGCGAGGCGGGTAGTATGATCGCCTAGAGCAAGATTTTAATGCTGTGACAGATATGTCATCTTTGACCGCTGTGCAGGGCATTAAAATGAAGAGGGATTGGTTTAAGTGCTTTTTGTCGATATCAGAGAGGTGTTCCCGGAAACGATCAGCTAGCTTCCTGCCAGTCTCCCCAATGCTAATATACCAGGGACGGCCAAAAAGTTATGCTTTGTAATTATAATCAAAAGGTAAGAAAACAGATTAAATTCACGCTGAAAGGTAGCCCCAAGTGTGAACTCTCATGACAGTCTATGTTATCTGTTACAGTTCTTGCCCATCTTTTCACAAGAGCATGTATCGCCGCACAGTAAAAAAAAAATTTGGGGGGGCTAAACCACTGGCACACAGCATTCAGGGATCTCTGTATTGGCAAAGGGCACCACCTTGCAATAACCTAGGGCTTTAATGATGGGCAATCTGGACACTGCCTTCACTCATGGACAACATGGAATACTGCTCATTCATCCAGTATTACCCCACGGTCAGCACAAATGATGTCATCATTTTCAACGAATGTTGTGTGGAGTAAATATGACAGATGGATGGAAAGTCCGCTTTGCACAAGCCATTGAGGACTGACTTTCATCAGCTTGGTCATAACGATGTATCCAGTATCGGATAGTGCTCACATCTACTGTTCAATCTCTATAAACATTCTTCAAACATTTGCGGATGCGAATTGAAGTCTGGCCTTCAGCTTTGAGGATTTCTATGACATTACCTTGTTTTAATCAAACGTGTTTGGAAGCCATTTTTAAACCATTACAGTGGTGCCACCAGTTAATGAAACAAGTTGGTAATGCTTTACAGTGCAGAAGAGCTAAATTGACAAAGTGCATGTGGATACAGTATTCACAGAGATAAAACAAAATAGGAGGCATTACTTTTTGTTCGTCCTTGCTATCTTTAATTTGTCTGTCATTAAGCCATGGGACAGGCCTCATTTAATCATACTTCATAGTTGAATGTAAAAGGTTAGGAGAAACCACAACTTCACAAAGCTAAATGTATGAAGTGACAACATGACATGATAAGGATATCATCATGTTTTAAAATTCAGAATCAACAGACAGGATGTGGATAGAGGGTTAATTTAGTTGGTTTTTACTGGATGAATTGTGCCATTTTTATTATGTACATCTAATGCAGATTCTCCAAGATACTTCAAACACTAAAGTTTCTAGTTTGTCTTGAATGGCATTGCAAAGTTGTCTTGCTTTTCACAATTCATTAAGATGAATATCCTTACTCCCTATTTATGTGTTAGTTAATTTTTATCACTCTGGGTGTTTACTATTTACTATTTTAGAAATTCTCTACATCAGATTAACAATTTAAAAAAAAAATTTAAACATATGATTAACATAAGAAAAATGTCAACTGCAAATCAGATGAGATGCGATATACACAATTTGACAGTCCAGCAACACTGCTTATCAGATAAGTTCAGGTTCACTATTTTGATTATTTAGGAAAACACACTTCAGAAAAGCCAGTTCAACTGTTTAAGTTCTGATGGCTCAGAAACACTAATAATAAAAATAATGCCCAATTTATTGTAAAAGATTTGATGATTTACTCCATGAACAAGAAATAACAATACAAACATATTACATACCTGTTCATACCAGGCTGCAACAATGGTTTCCTGAAACATGCAAACATCATACAATATGACACTGCTAAATGTGCCTGCAAGTAGGTTGTTTAAACTAAAGTGCCTCAAGATTCAAAACATTGTTTTCTCACTGTGAATTAAAACAATAAAGATAGCTTTCATCGAACGCTACTGCCACCCATCCAGTCTCCCCCCCCCCCCCCCCCTCCTTTTCTTTTAAAACATCTAAACATGCCACCTGCATCCATCAGTGATAATAGTGACCTATCTCCATATCTTCCTCTTCTTCCGCGTTCATCCGAAGATGTGACTGTGTTGTGCCCATTTACAGCATGGTTGCAATATTTGTATCTTTTGGCCAACACATTTGACTTCTGCTGGCATTTGCTGACTGGGTTAGCCTTCCCAGTCCTCTCTCCATATGATAACAACTAAACTTCATATATTTAAAAAAATTAGGTAAATGACGCTAATAAAGCAACTGGCCGACAGGCACTGGTGCTTAGAAAATACATTTTTACAGACCAACCAACATTCAATGGGTGATATGGTCAAGATCATTCCTGTCATCTTTGCTCCCTGCTCCCCAGGCATTGCCTGGTATTACTTTTAGACTCCAAAAACCTGGTAGCCAACGTCATTTTATAAAAAATATTTCCATGTGGATTTGAGCTCAACCATTTGCTTGTTTTAACTTTAAGGTTGGCAGACAAGTGTCTAGAAATTGTGGGCCAACAGTATAAACTTAATATGTACCAAGGCAGAGAAACAGGTCTTTGACTCACAGCAGGAGAAATAAAGCTTTTTACACAGCAGGTATTTCAAATAGTATCTCTTTATCTTACACTCATCATCATTATGCAGCAAGCCCTTTGCAGAATGTCGCTCTCATTCACGGTCTGCCTGAAAGAAACAATGTCTCTCACCAGCTCTCCTGCCTCAGGTATTTTTATACTCAAGGAGCCACTTATATCCTGTGCCTATCTTCGTGTCGGTCGGCCCCTGCCCCTCCTTCCTGGTACCATGCCTTCTGCTATAATTTTGTCCAAACCGTCGTGGCGCTTGATATGACTAAAATATTTCAGCTTCTGAGACAGGATGCTGTTTATTAGCCAATCTTCATTGACGTTCAGATCTTTCAAGATGTCAGTATCTTACACTATGAAAATAAAATGCCTACTGAACTCAATGGCACTCTTAGATGAAATGAGCAAAGAATTTTAAAACAAGCACTGAAATGGGAAACAAACAGTCTGAGAAAAAGAGGACTTCCAAGGGAAACATTAAGAAGAATATTATTACAAGAGGCTCAAATGTCAGGCTGAACTCCATGTCAGAAATTGAGAGAGTTACATGCAACAGAGCAGACTGGAGGAATCGAATGCAAGCCCTATGTGACGTCTAATGATGGATCAATATCACGGTACAGTGGTGTAACTCATAAGTGCTCCGTTCTTCTTCTAACTCAAGTCTGAGTCCGAAGAAGCTCAGCACAGTGCACAGGTTCTGTAGCACTGGCAAGGATCCTGAAATACTTGGGTAGATTTTTAACTCTAAATTTTGCCTAGGCAGCACCGTTTCGATTTCCAGCTGCCAGGGGATTTTTTTTACGTGTGCAGCAATACTCACAGGCGTCCAACCTCACCTCTACCAAGAGACAATGCAGCCCCCTGAACTGAAGAGACATATTGTAAATATTATGTGCTCAAATAGAAATTACTATTTAACAATACAAAAAAAACCTTTCAAGGAAATTACCATGTAAATATAACTGGTGAAGAAGCACACCACTCCATCAGGGACAATCGTTACCATCTCCACCAGCAGGTTCCCATAGTTTCTGGTCACAGCTAGAGAAAAATACATCAATCAGATTCATTGAAAAACTATGACAAATTCTAGATATATAAAAGTCAAGGACCCTCTCCATTGCTTTGCTGCCCTGGGCGTATAATTATAATGCCCTATCTATATTTTACAGACCAATCAGCATTCAATAGATGATGTGGTTAATATCATGCCAGCCGCTGTCGTCATCTTCTGTCAGTCTTTCCTCTAAGGCCTAGGATGGCACATAGGGCAGAGGTCATAGTTCTCCAAGTCTGGTGGTTCGTTGCCACATGTTTTGGGTCTTGGATGTTTCTTAGGACTATGGTTGAGCCTTTCCTGATGATGGCTCTAGGCAGGGTCTCTTGGTCTTCCCCATTTTCTTTTCTCTTCTTGTGTCCATTAAAGGGCTTGATGAGAGCATCCGGTCATACCATTCTGTGCACAGCCGATGTAGTTCTATTGCCGCTTTCTTGAAAAATTTGACACATTATCTTTCTTTGTCTCTTATGTTATTTGCATACAGGATCTGGAATCTGTGCAGTTGAGATTCAGTATTCTTCTAAGTAATCTATTCTTTAAAAAATGTCTGGCACAGAAACAAAGTCCCAAAATGTACAAAAGAAAAAAGTCTTACTAACTAGCAGAAAAGTTCACATGCCTGATATCACTGGCCCTACTCGCCACAGTGTGGGACCTAAAAGGGGAAGCCATGCTGGATGCAATGCTTTGCCGCACTGTCTTGATAAGTTTTTAGATGTCCCATGTGCCGAAGAAAAATTTACCTATTTGTGTGCCCATCAAAGTCCCAGACCTGCGGGTTGCTCCCTGCTGATATCCGCAGGGCACAGCTCGTGACGATTGGAAAGCTCAACATACTGATGTGAGGTTGAGCAAGTCATGTGCATGATGTGATGATTCCTTGGGTGAGCCCGGTACCAGAACGAACATGTGTCGACTCTGCATTTATGGAAGCCTCCCTGGATGGCAGGGAATGCCCATGATCTGCCCCTGCAATCTTTTGAGCACCAACCTGTCTATACGCAGATGACCTGAACGGGGTTTCCCAGGGGCAACACCTGTAGATAAAGGGACAAAGAGGACACCACACAAATAAGACCACAACATGTCCCTGTCCAACGAAACTAGCTGGGAAGGTAACCCGGCAAACAAATGTTTAATGAAGCCGGATGTGTCGGCTGAAAGGTGCAAATATCGCTGCTTTGCTCCAAACAAGCACAACGCAGAAAATCACTCCTTCAAATGATCGCCACCGTCCTGTTGTGCCATTATATGTCACACACGGCTCACAGCCTATTTCTTCATTTCATACTATCCGGTGCAATCAATTCAGTATGGATGAAATTCAGCTCAACAGTTTTGGCCTCTCTAATCAATGTTCATGCTAGAGTTTTTTTGGGGGGCGTCCTCTTTCTTAATCCCTTTACTTCCCAATTCAGCACCTGTTTGGTGATTCTCTGCTCATTTCTTCTCAGGATGTGTCCAATATAACGCCATCTTCACGGGGTTTTTTTTTTAAACTGTTGATACTTGTGGTTGCCCAGATATTTCTCTGTTTTCTTCAATCTTTTCATTTAAGGCATAAATTATATTTTGATTTCTTTTAGTATCTATGTTAATCAAATTTCCTGGGAACACTGGACACAATTCAGTAACTAGAAACCACACAACCCATACTGCATGACCTTACAAAGTTATAATACCACATCTGATCCACAGAGATCATTGACAGTTACACACAAATACTTACCAATGTCCTCTCTTGTCTCAAATTTAGAGCTGATTGCTACTTGGTCATTTCCCTTGCTCACAATCTGGCAGTAGAATAATATATACATTAACACTGAGCGCAGCAGACAGTCAGTCTCGCGTCAACTCTCCTTAGTCAACTCTTATGATATGACATGCATGGTAGGCTAGAGTTATGATATCAACTTCATTACATACTGGGCATTCCAACACTTGCTTAGTTTTCCAATGCAGCAACCACTATTACTAATCTGAGCTTCCTTTGTGATTCATACTTTAATGCTGATAGGGGGCTGCGTGGTCTTGAGGCATGGTGTCTGCCTCGAGTGCTAGAGGTTCCAGGTTCAATCCACGGTAAGGGCTGGGATTTTTTTTCATGTGTTCCAGAACTTAAGTGTTGTGTGCACATCAGTTTTACTTGGACTTCTAGTAATTCCCCCTGGTCTCTAGATAGTGAGATCGGAACCCCATGTGTATTGTTGAGCAATAAAAAATCCCTTGGCAGTTGAAAATCGAAAAGAGCCGCCTAACGGCACTGCCTGGGCAAAATTTGGAGTTAAAAATCTACCCAAGAGAGCCTGTGCACTGTGCTGAGCTTCTTCAGACTCAGACCTGAGTTAGAAGACAAGCAGAGCTCTTATGGATTACTACCCGTGTGCCATAGTGTTGATCATGGCTGTTCAAACCTCAAACTTTAATGCTGATATGATGATGTGTGCTGGGTAGTGAAGATGTTCTGTGAGTGACCTGCTCTTACCAAGGATTAACCTTAAAGAATCCTCTTTTGTCTGGCGTACTGGCCATAATAAACATAAGCATTTCATGTGATGCACATTGCATAATTATTAGTTATCAATCGTGTGGTGTATATTGCACAACTATGTCTACATGTGATACACACTGCACATCTGTAATTTGTCTATCATGTAATACATATTTCACAACTCTAATCTATCATGCGATACACATTGCACAACTATAATGTGTCTATCTATCATGTGATGTATATTGCACAACTACAGTTTGTCTGTCATGTGTTATATATTGCAAACTACAATTTGTCCAATATTTGGTAAAATTATTTGGTACTATTCAGTACAAGATACATATCACAAACCAAATATTTAACGAACAGGGATCACTAGGTGGTCTGCCTATTCACACAGCAGCTACATCACGCAGGTTCTAGACTGCTGCTGACTGAATGAAACACTACATGCTGCAATATGGCGCAGTATGCGGCCAGGTCAGTAATGCTCTCGAAACCACAATGGGTGATACTGCAGCACTTTGAATCTCAGAACTAAAGTTCCAGCTCCTGGATATCAGATTTTCTAACCACTAAACAAATGTCACATTAACTAAAAAATTGTCCAAGAGGTTTTTATTTTATATTTAGATTTAATTCATAAAATGCTATCTACCATTTGTACATTCTGTGGTTTAAAGGTTAGTGAAATCCTTTCACAATCCAATCTGAAGTAACATGGTTTGGTTTCTGTAGCCTGCTATTTAGAAAAGGAACTGTTATTATGGTTTTTTAGATAGCAGTACAAAAGATGCATCACTGAAGAGACTGAGACCTCACCACGTATTATCCCCAAACTCAAACGGTAGTTGTACTGCAGATAACTTCTATTCTGAAGACGGCAGAAAATGAATTAAATTGTATGTAGATTTGTTTAGTTTCTAGCCGTCAGCAGGTCTGTGAAAAAATGTATCTTATTTTCGCTGCCTGTGAGTGTACACAGGTTGAAAAACTGAGATACAGACTACAGAAGTAAATGACTAAGGCATCTACGGCTGTATAAACAAATAAATGAATGCCATACAAACCATAGGGCAGATGCAAGGTCTTGCCAATGTCATAGTGAAGGTTGCCATGGTGACAGGTTGAAAGTCCAGAATTTTTGGATACATATCCAGAGGTGATAATGTCTGAAGAGAAACAAATTATTTAATGAAAACACTTCATTCTAGTTTACCACATGCTTATCAAATTTCACATTTCTTCTAAAGTGAAAAACATTCCCTATCCATCGGCTGACTCTGAAAATTCAAACTTTACCTACAACATTTAAACATGACTTAAAAGAAACCGACTCATGAAGAGAACTGTATGCCCACATCAGAAAGAGACGATCTGCTTACTTTGGTCATGTTATCATCAGAAGAAAACTAGAGTACATCATGACAGTGGGGAAGTTGGAGGGGAAAAGAGGCAGAAGGAAACCGAGAGAGAAGATGCTCAACAGTTTGACCTCTTGGCATGGAAGATCATCTATGTCCGAACTTAGTGAAAGTGCTAGAGACAGAAAGCTGTGATTAGACATGACTACCAATGCCACTTTGCAGAGACTTAAAAAAGACCCATGACGTCATTTTTCTTCAGTTGTTTCCATCACAACTCGTGGCAGTGGCGAGTGTGACTAGCAAGACAGGCGTTAGGAAAAGTCTTCCACAATTATAGCAATGAATTTCAGCATCATTGTGTCAACAGTTGTGTTTAGTCTGTTTCTTCTCAGACGCTCAGCTCTCATCCTTTCTGCAATCATTTTTTTCCTACATTTCCTCTACAAACAACAAGGTCCATGGCATTTTATTCCGAGTCCACCTCAATACATGTGTCATTCATGTTCCACTTGCACACACCTTTATATCGTAGTAGATGTCGGCCTCTACATCTTCTACCTATCTTTAATTCACCATAGACGATGTCCTTAGGGAAATAATGAGGACACAAACAATATATCGCAGTTTACTGCCTGGCATATTTTGCTGTATCTCTTCAAGTGCATCTCTAAAGTATCTACATCAACATGTAATGAAAACACAAAAGTGAATCCTTACAACTGAAATACACAAGCTACCTAGTTTACTGTTATACAGTACATCACCACAGAAGTCTTTTTTAACCATATGAACCTTTTTTTTAACATAATATGGGTGATTCTGATAATTGTAGAATTCCCGCTATGCAGTATAAGTGTGTGGTCATTATGGAATTGCTCTGCTTCTCTACAATTCCCCACCCACATTTAAACTGATTATGTGTAAGCAGATTTAGACACTCGTTCTTTAGAGGCGGGGTTGGAATAGAGATATTTATTTGCTAGAAAAGAGGCTGTTCATCAGCCAATCTTCCTTGATGTTCAGATCTGTCAAGATGTCAGTATTTCTCCTCTTCTTTGTCCAATATATTCTGATGTTTATATACAAATTGTTTTAATCAAAATAACAACAACAAAATCAACAAAACAAAAACTACCAAATAAGAAGTAGCGACTATATCTATGTCTTACCCCAGAGGTGACAACCACAGTCTGAAATCTATCAAATATAGGCTTCACCGCAATTGTGGCATCCAGGCAGCTGAAGTTCATAATTGGTTCAATCATGATTGATCTAGATTTACCTTTAGTGTATGTACTGATGAGGGTAGCAAAATTGGCAACAAGTGAGAGAGATGAATAGTCCTTGATGTCTGCCAATTCAAGCGTTCTCAAGAGTGAAGAAAGCCGTTCAGAGCAAAATCTGCAATGTGTCAAACAAATATGTAATTACTGAGGGTTGTCAGTCTATCTGCTCTGTTAGCAATATCTGGTTGCGTAAGCAACCAACCAAGTCAATCCAAATACTTCAAAGCTGGTCAGCTGTGATGGCAGAAGTTTTTATGAGATTGATTAGCCAATCGCGTGACCAATCCAAATCATCTCATATCTTCTTCTTCACTTGTTCACTTGAAATAGATTATTGCCCTGGTACTATCTGCCACAGCGAGCCACACTAAAACGTTACAACAGGTATAGAGCGAGGGGAAGACCTAGGAAAATATGGAGTGATGGCATTAAGAACAGCCTTACAGAAATAAACACCAGTCTTAATAGTGCTCTTGACAGAGCTTATCAACAAACATTACATCTCCCCCCGACATTTCGATGAGGTACAAGGTGGAAGAGAAGAAGAAGAAGAAATAGATTATTAGCCAACTGCGTGACCAATCCAAATCATTTCATATTTTCTTCTTCTTTCGTTCACTTTCGTTCTTATTTATATCTGCAATGTTGTCTCTAGCAGAAACTTCATTGTCTGTTGTAATTAAGTCAGCGACCCGTCAAGTTTGGCCAAAAGTGTTGCTTTGAAATGTTCTAATTGGGACAGTCATCTCATATGAGAAGCTTGTAAGATTGCTTCTACAAGGGTCCCACTTATGTTAATATTCTCACTAAATGGAAATGTAGAATAACTGTTTTCTTTACAGCTAGCTCATTTTGGTTAGATATCAATGTTTTCGGTCACTGTTCTGTATGTGTATCCCAGTGACTGTGTTTTAGTTGCTGATGAAGACTCTGCAGCCACCGACTTGTGACTGTGCTCCTGTAATGCTGACAAATTTACTGCCATTCTTACCATTTGAATCTCTATGCCTCGCAGATATTATCATTTGTTTTGTTTTCTTCCATTCCATGAAAATAACATATTCCGAACACCTCTACAAGTCTTATTTCATTTTATTAAAGGTTAGATGTAAACCAAATTACTGTTCCTATAACAGGATTTATGATCATATCAACAACAATGGAAACCATCACATTACTTTTGCCTAGATAAGATGTTTATATTCTAAAAATGGAAACTATCGCATTACTGTTGTTAAGACAAATTTATATCACAACAATGGAAACTACTGACTAGATGGGAAGTTTATATCACAACAATGGAAACTTCTGCCTAGATGGAAATTTTACATCACAACAATAGAAACTTCTGCCTAGATGGAAAGTTTACATCACAACAATAGAAACTTCTGCCTAGATGGAAAGTTTACATCACAACAATAGAAACTTCTGCCTAGATGGAAAGTTTACATCACAACAATAGAAACTTCTGCCTAGATGGAAAGTTTACATCACAACAATAGAAACTTCTGCCTAGATGGAAAGTTTACATCACAACAATAGAAACTTCTGCCTAGATGGAAAGTTTACATCACAACAATAGAAACATGTAACAGATATTTTTTATCATCCGAAGTACAATCTGACCTCAATGGTTTCCTGTCGATGCAAACTTTAGCTTGACAGTCCTTCAAAAACGAAGGCGGACTTTCTGAAACCACATAGTCAGATTTAAACACAACACAAAAATGTATGTGGGTCAAGTTCTAATTATCATCAGACATGGATAGGCTGCAGTGTGTCATACCAATGTTCTATAGAGTCTAGAAAATAACAGCAAACTATTGAAGTATCTTCATCATCAAGTGCCTTGTCCAAGTGGCATGGTGGTCATGCCTCTCTATATTCTCTCACCCCATCCCCCCCCCCCCCCAAATCTCCAGAAGAATGTAATATTTGCCCATGCCCTGATGAAAGACCATCAAGAATCTTTCCTTTCTTGTGGTCTTCAGTAATCATGACTTTAGGTCAATAAGGAGGATAGGCAGGTTTACTGTTTTTAGTCCTGGCCGGTTTTTGCTTCTGATCATAGTTAGCCACTGCATTTCACTCCATGTTTAGACTGAAAGGATAAAGAACCATCCCCCAGCTAGGCATGACAGTGAGCTGCAAATTTCGTTTGGAATGTTTTTAGCTGTACGGTTTGTGTCGTGAATTGCAAATTCAGAAAATGGCAAATGGCCTGTTGCTACAAAGCTGATGATGCCTTAAGGGATTAATTGAGTGTGCAACTAATGATCTGTTGTAACTGCTGCTTTCATCGATGATGACTTTATTTCTAGTGTTGGACTGTTTGTGTTGGCAACTTCTTATGGCTACCATGTATTTAACGCTGTGGGTATGCTATTGGATAAGCTAAGACTGCAGCCTATGTCCATTTTTTCACAAGGTACAGTGATGGACATTCCGTATGGTTTTCATTAGCCCAAGGACGCAACTATGGGCTGATTCGTTTGCTATGAGCCTATAACTATCATTATCTGATTCATTAATCTCCTTTGACATCAATCATTCCAGCTGTTACAAAACATTCCAATTTTGTTTTTGTCATTTAAAATTATTGTAATAACATCATAACTATTGGGAAAATATTTACCTTGCAAAATTTCATCTGGAATTACTGAGGGAAGAAATAAGAAAAAATATGTAAACATACTGTAGAAAGAAATATTTTTAAACTTCTTAATAGTTACAGTAGAATTAACACAGTAAAATATATTTTTTTAAACTAAATTCTTTTTAACAACGCAACAATAAATATAATGAGAACATGTTTACATCTGTAATTTTAAAATAATATGAGAATATTTAACACTAATTAATTTTTGTGTGTGTATGTGTGTGTGCGGATACATGAGTCTAAACCTGTTCATTAAATAACAGATGATGATAACGATGTGGATTAATCTATGTGTTTCTTTCAGACTGAAGATAAATGTGCCAGAAATATGTATTCCCACACCAATGGGATGTAAAGGATCTCAAACGGATAGAACATCAACAAAACATAAAAGCTACAACATCACATGACAAGTGATACTTGTCTTGATACTAGAAGAATGGGATATACAGCATAACTATAAAATGAATGTGACCTTTCTAACATAGGAATATTTAATGATATTCTATATGTGTAGTTACATTATACCTGGGTTGGCAAGTACAACATCTGTTTCCCTGGCAATCTGTGTTTCTCGTAAGCCATCAACCATCCTTTGATATTCATTTTTGAGGCGATCTTCATCAACTTCTTTAATTCTATAGACAAAAATGCAAGATATATGCAGTCTGCAACTTATACTTTTTGCTAAGAAGACTGATAAAATTAAGTTGCTCAAAGCAGAATTTACAAACTATTCATCACTGATCACTGATGAGGAAACAGAAACAAAGCAGAATTTACAAACTATTCATCACTGATCACTGATGAGGAAACAGAAACAAAGCAGAATTTACAAACTATTCATCACTGATGAGGAAACAGAAACAAGGCAGAATTTACAAACTATTCATCACTGATGAGGAAACAGAAACAAGGCAGAATTTACAAACTATTCATCACTGATGAGGAAACAGAAACAAGGCAGAATTTACAAACTATTCATCACTGATCACTGATGAGGAAACAGGAACTAAGAACATTACTATATTTAATCAGAAGGCCTTTTTATACAAAACGAACAATCCTACATTTCTATGTTATTCTGTTTTTCTCCTGTAAAGTAATGAAGATGTTTGCCATTAATGTAAAAGGACTAAATGTTGAATAAAGAATCAAAATCAAGCACTCGGGACATCCCCAAAAGCCCTCCGTTCCCATCTTCAGCAGCAAACGAAGAGTTCCAATTCTGATGGCTCTAGTAACTGTCTGATTGTATAACCGTCTCACCTTTCCCTTGAGTGTTGAGCATCGGCCAGATCCCCTGGCAACTCCTTGCAGCGCCATTCTCCTCAGACCATAATGATCTATTAGCACTTCCTCACTGTTCACTCACTGCTAGAGGGCCCTCACAACATCTAGCTTGTCATACATGAGTTCACTACAAAGTGGTGCAGCACCGGCCAGTCTATCTGCCTACTCATTTTCCAACACAGCAGCACTACTTGGAGAGAATATCCATAGAATGCTAACTACCCTGAAGTGATGCTTGCCACTATGCACGAAGCACACCTGTCTCCACCTTTCTCAACATGCTCTGTGAGTCAGTTACATTCATGACATGTGTGTACACCTGATTCTCAAGCCAGGTGAATGCAGCAGTAACTGCCTCCACCCTTAATCTCAAACTAGATGTTGTCATATTAAATGGCAGGCTTTTTGGCACTAAAATGTAAAAGGACATGTTAAGTAATATGCAGTATGTCTTCAAATGTGTCTCTTGCTGACCCTTAACAGTCTCCAGTACAAGGAGTGCGGCACATTTATCATTACTTTTTTACCTGGAAATGTTGTTACATTAAAAATGTTTTTTTTTAGGCAACAGTATGTTTGTGTAAGACTTCTATTTACTCTTTGCCTAGCATTTTTCTTCCTGTCATAATGATCTTTGTCCTAAACTAGTTACTCCTAGATGAGAAAACTGACTTTATTAACACTGTGAAGCTGCATACAGAACCAATGGAATTATGTTTTTTGAGAACAGGTCAGTGCAGAAATGCCAAGTCATCAGTACTTACAGGATAGCGTTACAGGTGGAAGTAAACAGATTTAGGGTGACAGGGTTAAAACACAAGAGTATCAGTGATGTCATGTTTAACACAAGTCATTTGTAAGTTCAGCAGTTATTTATTAAATAATAGAAATTAATAAGAAAATTGTTATTACCTCTTTATCTGTTTACTAAGATCTTCAATATTTTGGTTACAACGATCAATTGTCTTTCTGGTTATTTTCACACTCATGGACTCCACACATACATTGTCTGCAAGAAAAAATTTGATGGATTTAATGAATGCAAATTTTAGTTTTAATCAACAGAAGCAATCAATATACTGCTTCATCTGAGAGGTAAAATCATCAATGTGAAATTATTTGGAAGCACAATTTTTGCAAACAAGTTTCATTATTTTATGTACAGATTTAACAATAAAGGTGATGATTTTCAGGGGGCTGAGTGGTCTTGAGGTATGGTGTCCACCTCAAGTGCTGGAGGTCCCGGGTTCAAGCCCCAGTGAAGGCTGGGATTTTTTTTTGTGGACTTCTAGTAATTTTTCCTGGTCTCTGGGTAAAAAGTTAGGACACCCGTGTGTATTGTTGAGAACGTAAAAAATCTCTTAGTATTTAGAAATCAAATAGAGTTGCCTACCGGCGCTGCTTGGGCAAAATTTGGAGTTAAAGATATTACCAAAGTATTTCAGGATCCTCGCCGTTGCAACGGAGTTCATGCACTGGGCTGAGTTTCTTCAGACTCAGGCCTGAGTTAGAAGTAGAATAGAGCACTTATGGATTACACAGGTGTGCCATGATGTTGATTTGTCGAAAAAACATAAACATAATAAGCAAAGACCCAGCTTAAGATGGGTACCACAGATTAACTTGTGGCACTTTGTCTGTAGTCACTTCTTCAAAACAACATTTCACCATAAACTTAAGGATATCTATAGTTGTAGGATTAGTTGGATAACTTCTACATTTATAAAATCATCCAAGAATGACTTAGTGTGGGCTGACCCCCAGGCTCCAAGAAGAGAAAGAATGACATTTTCTGCTGATAAAAGTCATGATGAAATTACCTATATTGTGTGCTTCATCAAATACCACAACAGACTGTTTTGGCAGCTCTTTTGAGACCAGTTCTGCTATTTTTGGGTCAAGGAGATAATAGTAGCTGTAGACAATGACTTGAGCTTGATTAATCTGAAAGAAAAAATATATTTAGAAACACTGTCATTACAATTCACATAGCTAATTTGCTTTATTGATAAGAACAGATAATTCTGGATCAAATTCACAAACTCCAACCTGCTGTTTGTATCTTATTATTGTATTCTTCTGTTTTGTTCAGCGGCTTTAAACCTCGGGAGGAAGTCCTGGTTTTTCGTTCATTTCTGGACTTGGGCTTTGTTCATGGACCTGAATTTTGCGTGTGTATCCGTTTTACAGATCTTGCTTATTTGTATGCAGACTGCTGGTTCCTTGCCTCTCACGTATATGCACTCTGACTCTGAAGGAAGCCCCCAATTGGTCGACTCTTATGACATGCTTGTTAGCAACTTTTTTTCTGGGGGGGGGGGGGGGGGGGGGCAGTGGGTCTATTGTTTTTCCCTACAATGGGACCCGGAACCCACACGGGGAAAGTACTGTAGACAAGCTGTACATAATAACACATAGTGCCAACCGGCTTTTAAAGGGTGAATGTCGAAAAAGAACAAATAAATCAAGCGATGACTGTGAATCAGCAATTTTGACCAAACTGCAAAAATAAGAAGTCAAAAGATATGAAGCCAGACAAGAAAAGCCAAAAATTAATAGTAAACCAGCATAAAACTGATGTCATTAGTCAACACACCTGAGGGATAAACTAGGCAGGGAATCCGCCTGAATGGTTTGAGAAGAGATGGGGATAATTCGTTGGAAAAAAGTTCCTCTCTTCCTTGATCTGGGATATCTTAACTTCAACTATGAATTGTAGAATAGAAAAAAGGGTGCAAAAGGAAGATATGATGGATATTATTGCTGTGTCTATTTCACTGCTCCCCAACCTTAGCCATTCAACACTGTGCAGCCTGTTCACTTCCAAGTGTTAACTATTAAAGATTATCTTGTGTGTCCCTTTACCGGAAACTCTTAACTGTTCCATGATTACCTCATAAAGTTTGTGTTTACTTCAACTCAACCTTTAGTCTGTTTTCACTCATAAATTATTCTTTTAACGTTTTCCGGCCCAGAAAGGAAGTGACTTCCCTAGTAAAATACTAAGTGTTGGTGGCCAGTCACTAAATGTGATACTCCAGCCACATCGGATAGGCCCTGCGATACAAGGCATGAAAAGGAAGGGAAGTCACTCTCTTTCTAGACCAGAAAACGTCACTATAACCAATTTTCTTAAGATTTCTTTATGAACATGAGACCAGGCCCGACTGTTATAAAAGTAATTAACAATGTAAAGCACGGCTATATCTTAATATCTTACAACTTATATTTACTAACAAAAGTATATCATTCTATAGATGTTAAATCATCATTCAATATTATGTTTGTTTTATAGTTATCAAAAAATATTTTGTACTCATCAAGCATTGGCTTATTCTTCTTGACATACTTCTGCATTATCAATGATAAATAAAATTTTCTATAAAATAATTACTTGCTTAGAGATTTCACAGTATAAAAGTAAACTCTAACACACAGTGTGCATAATAAATCATATTTTTACTTACAGCATGTCTGGCCAGAAAGTATGGGCACATTCCTGTCTTTCTGCCATACTCCCTCAGATCATCCTAAACATGACAATGGCATACCAGTCATATTTAAAGCTATTATGATCACACAGTAAAATAAACATAACTCAATTTAATTTTGATATTAAACAGTAACATAACCACACCTAGATTCAATTCTGATTTCAAAATTTTAGAACTTCAGCATTACTACCCAACAGATTATTCTTTGAGATTTCCCGTCTGGGTTCCTGGGCCTCACTGTGGGGAAAACAAAAACAGACCCACGGCCTCCCCAACCCGAATGTCACAGAAGTAAACTAATTAGGGGCATCCTTTAAAGTCGAAGTGTATATGCCTGAGAGGCAAGGAATCAACAGTCTGCATAAAACGAATGTGCATGCAACACTCAGGTTCTGGAACAAGATTAGAGTCCAGAGGTGGACAAACAACCAGAACATTCCTCTAGAGTTACACAGCCACTGAACATGAAGAAGTAGAATTCTGAGATTATGTCACTACACTGTATTCAGCACTATCCATAGTAATTTTCTTTCAGACAACATAATAAACAATTTGTCTTTGAGTCAATATGGTGTATTGGTGGGTTTACTGGAAAGCCACTGCATTTGCTTCTATGTGTAGAAAGGAGGGATACAGTTTAGTCACTCAGCTACTGAGTTAAGTGCACGCTGTGACAATGTGACCTGTGGATTTCACTTTAAAAAAATGTTTGTTAACCGTGCACAACATGGCTTGTGCTGTGTGCTGTGTGCTGCCTTATGCTATTAATTGCATGTACAACTACTGATCTGCTGTAACTGCTGCTTCCATCAATGAGGTGCATTTCAAGCATTGGATGTTTGTGTTGGCATTTACGACAGCTGCCTTAAGCATTTAATGTGTGTGTGCTTTTAGCTTCACTGAGATTGCAGTCTGTGTAAATGGTGTTCACAGGGTACAGTAATGAACATTTTGTGTGGTTTTCGTTGGCATAGCACAGGAATTATGGGTTGACCCATTTGCCATAAAGTTGGAATTGCGATTACCTGATAATGAACACCTATCATCATCATCAAGTGCTTTGCCGATTGGTGTGGGTGACCATGCCTCTCCACAATCTGTGATCGGCAACTGCGCGTATCAATTCATATTTGGCACCCCTTCATGCCATGACAAAAGAGTGTCAAGAATCTATTTGTGCTGTCTTCCTCTGTCTCTCTTTCCATAAATCTTTCCAGTGGTTACAACAGGTTCCATTTTCTCTCTCCTCACCAAAACATGACGACTGTCTCTTTCTGCTGTCTGTGATACGTTGTCTTTGAGCTCACGCCTCTTTCAAAACATCTTGGCTGCACTTCCTAGCTGTCCAATGAATTCCAAGGATTCTTATGTAAAACCACATGTCTGAGGCCTCAAGATATTATTCGGGCTTGTTTATTAATTGTCCAGGATTGACAGCCGTGTGTTAAAACGGGCTCTATATAGTGTTCGAGAATTGTTTTCCTTATCTCTAATGACAGGGATTTATTGCACAAAATGTTCATTTTATAAAAGGCATTTTATAAAACACCTTTACTGGCAGATTTTTACTACAATGTTCTGTTTTTAAAATTACTTTTATTTCAGCAGAAGAACACACAGAGTAATTTACAGAATAAAAACAAATGACAAAAAAAGCCACATTTAAAACTGTAATTATAACTAATTGAATTATGACTCACCAATCCATAGACACCTGGAGCCAAAGGGATATTTCTTCCATTAGAATCAAACTCCTGGAAAATGTAAGGCAGAAGTATTATTTGCAATGTCATATCCTCTATTGTTGTGAATTCAACGTTGATTTGTTTTTATACTTCCCCAACTATTACATTTACGTAGTCTCTGCCTAAAGATGTATCTGTTGCAAGCTTACAGGTTCTGTTCTTGATATGCTTACATTTTTTGGGGTGAAACATGAAACACATCCAGTTTTTAACAAAGCCCTAATTAGTCATCTTTGAAAACATGCTTGTTGGGTGGGGGGGGGGGGGCATTCTTTTTATCCCCCCAAAATGGGGCCTCAAAAACCACATGGGGTTGTTCAGAGTACTACACTTTACAGTTCTACAAAAAAAATTTCTGCAACTAATTTCCTCACACTTTTTTGAATGTTTACAGGATACTGCTTATTTTCTTGTGTATGTAGGTTATTTAAACCACAATATGTGCAAACAGTACAGCTACTGCAATAAAATGTTGGCAACTATATTCTTGGTGATGTTAAAAAAAACTTATGAAAATGATGTTTTGTGTAATTATAATCGCTCTTCTGAACACTTCTTTAATTATTTAATGCTTCAAAATTAGGAATACTGATGTTTGTTGGATAAAAGTATAGTGTAACTGGTTTTGCACTATACATACCTCATAAAACTCACAAACAGGGATGTTTGGGTTGCTCTTGTGTCGGTTTCGCACAAATGATGCAGTCAATTGATGGCATTTACCATCAACAGTTTTCCCATCTCTTTCCTGGCTCACCTGTGTGGCAAAGGAATCAATATTTAAAACATACATCCTCTACAAAGGCTTGTGAAGATATTGATAGTGGTTCACTCAGGTATAATGCAGGCAGCTGAGAATAAACTGGTTACTTAATATACATCATTAGCAGCCAGGAAGTACAATGTCAGCCATGTTTAAATATATACGCTTTTTTCTGTTAAAATGAAGAGTTTACGTACAAATGTGAATGCAATTTTAAGATACACAGCATTTTTTGTTTCTTTCCTTGACAGAGTGATATATTGTAAAATAAAATGTTTCTTATGTTTTATTTGTTATAAATAAAAGCAGTAAACAAACACTGAGGAAAAGATAGTCTTGTCTTACTCCTTTTTGTATCTTCAACAATTTAGTTGTTTCTTTATCAATCTTTATGGCATAGTAAAAAAGTCAGGAAATGTGAACCAGTGTCTTTGCACACGGTTATAAACCATAAGTGCTCTGCCACCAGTACGGACAGCTAATAAGAAACTGTCCGCCTGTGTCGCTGTCCGCACGCAACTCAGTAGATACAGCGAAGTTCCTCCATTTACCCCAGAATGTTAACTCTGGTACCCATTACCTAGAGGCTGGGTAAACCCCGAAAAACCGCCCGGTTTCGAACACCAACCCTGGGCTGCAGCAAGTCGAAGCTGAATTTGAAAGCGAGCCTCCTATCGACTGCGCTAACGTGGCCCCATGGTATGGTAAAAAAATATGTGAACTCAAAAATGTTTAAATGAAAAGAAAGGTAAGAAGAAACAAACCTGTGGGTGCACACACATGTTCTTGCGTGAGCTGAGGGCAAGTCCAACAAAGTTTGGAATCTCACCAGTCTCCTGTGTGTAGTACTCTATAAGCCCTCTCATTTCCTCAACAACCTACAAAAATCAATAATTTGTTTTTCAACCTGATGAATTATTTTCTATTTAAACACAATAAGACAAAAATATACATACTAATTAAGTACAGCGAAAATATTTCTCTATGTGTTAATGAAGCATTCTGAAAAACAGTGACCCAAACTCAAGAACGAAAGATAAAAACAGTAATTACTAACAGCGGAATAGATCCAATATGGCTAACATGAAATCATAAACAGAAAAACTGAGCAGGCCTATAACCTCATTGAAAGTATCAGACCATGCGGTGCTTGCAGCGGCTTCTCATCTACCTGCTGTGCTATAAAATCATGTAGGACTGATGAGTTCACGAATATGTATACTAACATGTTCCATTCGGGAATAGTTATTCATAATTATGAATTAGAGGATCACAATCCCCAATGTTGTTATTACAACCGACAGTTTAAACAGGTGGTCAGCTAATTCAGGTATGAAAAGGTATATGCCATACAATGTTTTCCCAGTCTCACTGTGAATCTAAATAGTGAGGTCGCAAACAATATATCACAGAATCTATTGTGAGGCATATTTTGCTTATCTCATCATATATCCCGGTTGCATGCCTTCAGCTGGTTTCGACAAGCCGATTGTCCAGAAAGCTACTACTGGATGTAAATGCATAGAACAAAAAAATTGCCCAAAAAAACAGCCCAAAACTACTTGGGTTGGTTCTGCAATGTCCTATAAAGGAAACACAACTAACTTTAACATTGTATTTTATAATTAATATAAATATTTAAAAATAAAATCAGAAAATTGATAGAAGACAATATTTAGATGGCCTAGCAGAAGAAGCAGCAGCAAAAGAAAACCTCTGCAACAACACAAGGAAAATCATTTATTCCATTCTGGTTACTGCTCTTCTGCCTTTCAACTTTCTCTCACCAGCATCTAAAATTTGTCACGTCTTTCAGGCCTGTACTACTTCAACATTTACTAAATTGGTTTTATATTGTTTGTCTGGTGGAGGACTGACTTAACTCTCAACTTCAATGCTCTGATTGAGTTAACTCTCAAGTTCAAATCATTTGACCTGTATCCCTCTCCAAACTCAGAAACAATAAGTGGGCAAGACAGATATTGGAACAATTATACCCAAGTTCCTATGCAGGTTCCGGAGCCCTGTTATTGGGAAAACAAAAATAGACCCACTGCCTACACAAAAACATATAAGAGTCGGCAAATTGGAGGTTTCATTCAAAGTTGGAGTGCATCTGCCTGAGAGGCAAGGAACCAGTAGTCTGCATACAAATGAGTCAGATTTGTAAAATGGATGCACAAGCAACTCAGGTTCTGGAACAGGACTGCAGTCCAGAAGTGGATGAACAACCATAACTTTCCGCCAGTTTACAGCTGGTAAACGCGAAGAAAAATACCTGAGTCAGTAATGTTTCCTCCATAGATGTTAAGTTTTTTATTGTTAAGAGACTTAAATCCAATGCCCAGAAAGAAATATATTAATGTATTGTGATATTTCTTACCTTTTCCAACTCTGGAACTGTTCTTGAGCAATATATCATCTTTGTGACATGTAGTGGATTTGCCTGTTCAAATTATTTGTATATAGACACATTTATAATAAATACATTAAAAACGAAATCACACGAAAATGAATATAGACAAATTTATTCCTATCTAAGCAAAAACTACTAAATCGGATAAAAACACATTTTATCTAGCATACCTCTGTCAAAAGAAGACAGGAAATATGGTTTAGGATAATAAATAATGACAGCAGAAAAAAATAGAGAAATAATATAAATATAGTGGTCTTAAGCTTAAATTAAAACTGTTAAATACATTTTAAATGCTAGGGGAAAATACAATGAAAAACTGATAAATACAAAATCTTTGTATAAATTTAACTCTGCAGTCTGTGTTTTAATTAAGTATTTATATAATACAAACAAAATAATTTACTAACAATATCTCTTTCTCTCTGTTTACACATATGTTGACTGTATAGGCATGCAAACACATAAACATATATGAACTTTTTTGTCTCCTACCTGCATGTAAGAAATAATCAGTGACAACAATGAAACAGTTTTTCCAGTTCCTGAGGGCATCTCCAGCACACAATGACCCTGAGAGTTTGAGAAATCATGTGAAAAATATTAATTTTTAAAGTTAATGTACATTGGAGATTGTGTTATTAAAAATCCTCTTCTTAGTATTCAGCATCTGTTAACTCTAGTGAAAAGCCCTGGCTGTTCATCTGCATCTGTTAACTCTAGTGAAAAGCCCTGGCTGTGTCATCTGCTTCTGAACTTTGGTCTTGTTCCAGGACTTGAGTGTTGCATTTATATCCATATTTCAGATCTGGCTAATTTCTGTGCAGACTGTTGGTTTTTTGCCTTTCCCGCGGATGCACTCCAACTTTAAAGGAAACACTGATCTTGTCTACGCTGGCCAGGCCTAAGGTTGGGCTCTGTTTCTAAGGTAACGACAGAGCAGTGTAGACAGGTCTAGACTAATCTGCACCCTGGTCATGATGCATCACCATTTGTGGTTCAGCATCTGCGCATCCCTTATCAATAACAGCAGTTATTTATTATTTGCTGACATAACTGAACAACTGCAGTTTCCAGAAAACAAATAAGTATACCACAACACTATGTTTAACAAAAAGTCTCTAGCACAATGTCACAACACCCAGCATGAGAACGGAGGTGGAGTGGCAGCAGCAACTGTCCAATGGCTGAAGGGTACCACAGCCTGACGTGTTTGTTATGCAAACAGTGATTTGCAACATCTGACGAGACCCGATGTGTGAATAATAATTTGAATGTTCTGCCCAGCGTATACATGTGTGTGAGGAAATTAGCAGACCAATAAACTGGGTGCTGCCACTACTCTGAGCAACAATCTCCTTTATGATAAAGACTGATGTGGTGACAGTTTTCTGAGATCATATTCAGAGAGCAGCACAACAGACAGTTCATCTATACTCTGCTAGCCTGATTCAGAGATTATAAACTATAATCAACTTACAGGGAAAAAGAATGGTAGACTTTTAATCAGGCTGCCACTCGCATGCAGACTCTTCACTAGGAATTGAAGAAGGGGATAGAGAATGTAGGAATGTCCTGGTTGCAGTGATATCAATTCTGGACTCATTCATTCAGCAGATATTGACTGATATGTAAGTTAACTGTTGCCATTTACCATTTACTGAGTAAACATCCCCTCTCAAGCATTAGTTCCATCTAGTACCATGTGTGGTGCCAAACACAGTCTATGACTTGTTGCTAACTCCTGTGTCATTATTTGAATGTCTTTTACTACCGGCTCTTCAGTTTGGTCTTTTCATGTTTCACCATTAAGTAACAGCTCATTGTTTGTAGTTCCTAAGTTCAAGAGAGAAGCTATAAGTATTCTTCTGGAGAAGCTATAAGTAGTCTTCTGGAGAAGCTATAAGTAGTCTTCTGGAGAAGCTGTAAGTAGTCTTCTGGAGAAGCTATAAGTAGTCTTCTGGAAAAGCTATAAGTAGTCTTCTGGAGAAGCTATAGCAGTTTTCTGGAGAAGCTATAAGTAGTCTTCTGGAGAAGCTATAAGTAGTCTTCTGGAGAAGCTATAAGTAGTCTTCTGGAGAAGCTATAAGTAGTCTTCTGGAGAAGCTATAAGTAGTCTTCTGGAGAAGCTATAAGTAGTCTTCTGGAGAAGCTATAAGTAGTCTTCTGGAGAAGCTATAGCAGTTTTCTGGAGAAGCTATAAGTAGTCTTCTGGAGAAGCTATAGTAGTTTTCTGACTATACTAGTTACATAGCTTGTGTTCATGCCATATTGGTTTCTGCAGGGTCTCTTTAATTCCATCTACCCATCTCTTCCTTAGTCTGCCTTTTGACTTGTAGCCTGCTGTTTTCATTGAGTACACTGCTGGCTGATTTTGGTCCATTTTGACCAGATGTCTAAACCATTTGATCTTCTGATGTTCTATGAAACCATGTTCTGGTACTGTGTCTACTGTTGTTATTAGTTCTTCACTGGAGACTCTGGCTTTTCTTGTTTTTCTGCCACACTTTTTATACATCGCATTTCATCTTTTGTAATTTTGTATTTCATCAGACTGCTGTTATCAAATATGCACTGATAATTTTTTTGTTATGTTGAAAAAATTTGGAAAACATTCTCTATAATGTGGGTTGTATACATTTTGTTGCAACCACAATGTAGCATAGTAGATAGTGCCTTTGCTTTACTAAGACAGTGGTCCAGGTCCAATGACTGGATTTCTCCTCTAGATCATGAATGCAATAAACTACAGAAATGTCAGCACAGAAGATTTAATTTACAGTGTAAATTGTCCACTAACTACAATCATGTTTGCTACTTACAGTCAGCCATTGCTATCATTTTCAAATTCTAATGGGGAAAGGGAAAAAAAGGGAGATCCAACATTTACAGCAATACCCACCTTGGCATCCAAAGAACGCTTTAGTTCTTGCATGTATAAAAACTGTTCTGGATAGATGTAGTCATAGGGAAAATATACCAAGAGGCCATCTACGTTCAACCTAATGAGACCAGACAAGTGGGCATTTACAATATCAATAAACGCAATATCCAATCCATTTTTAAACCAAAATGTCAGAATGTAAACACAAAAAAATAAATTCAAAATAGTTCAAAGTAATATTTCTTCACATTTACCAGCTGTAAACTCTGGCAGAAAGTTCTGGTTGTTTGTCTACTTTTGGACTGTAGTCCTGTTCCAGAACCTGATTGTTGTGTGTGTATCCGTTTTACATATCTGACTCATTTGTATGCAGACTGCTGATTCCTTGCCTCTCAGGCACTCCGACTTCGAAAGAAGCTCCCATTTAGTTGACTCTTACAACATGCTTTTGGGTAGGCAGTGGGTCTATTCTTGTTTTACTTTAAAGTAATACTGTTTCATTGTGACCAAAATCGACTGAAACTTGTGCAGTCATTCTACAAAGAAGGTAAACACACAATGAAGTACACAATGTAATCTTTTCAGCTGAAATACACACTTCACATATAGTCCACTATTTAAAAGTTTTATCATGGTAGTTCAAGACTAAACAGCATGACTTTCTGTTGATAAAGCAAAGAGTTATCCACTGAAGACTTTAACAAATCACAGCTGGGTGTGCCAGATATTCATGAACTGCACATTCTCTTAATCATGTAATTGAAACCAGCAAGTGGAGTGTTATAGCAGAATGTGACTTTCTCCTTCTTTTACTCTCACCAGCTGTACACTCATGGGTACAGTTCTGGTTGTTTGTCCACTTCTTGACTTCGGCCTTGTTTTAGTTTATTATTTTAGCACGCACGTTCATTTCATAGATCTGGCCTGTTTGCATGCAGACTGTTGGTTCCTTGCCTCTCAAGCATACTCTGACTTTTAAGAAAACCCCAAATTAATCTACTTTTACGACATATGTGTTAGGGAAGCAGTGGGTCTATTCACCTCCCCTCCCTTCCACAATAGGGCATGAGAACCCAAAAAGGGATTGCTTTATCAAATCTCTAAAACATTCCTTCATTTGAGTCTATCCACAGATTCTGATCCACTATTCTGTGTCCAGATGTCTTTCTTTACTGGCAATGTAGGAACCACTTGTACCTGCCGTGAAACTGATATATACAGTTGAGCATAGGATAGGGGTGATTCAATATCAAACTATGGGAAGAGTGGCACATAATGTTTGTAATGCTGTTCTGAGATGTTGCATTGTGTCATCCCCTGAAAAGATTAAATTAATACATATGTAATATATGGGCATCTATGCTTCATTGCGGGTTGGTTAGGGTGGGTAGAAAAAGAGTCTTATTAATCAGACAGGATACCCTTTCAGAGTAAAATGTTTCTGAGGGTTTCAAATTCCTCTGTTAGAATTTTGTTGATAAATATCTTCCCTTACAAAGTGTTTATCTGTGTTTATTCAGGATGGGTGTGATACAATGGAATTTAAATTTGAAGTATGGTAAGATGCTGTTGTTTCTCAAATAATACAGGCAATGGGATGTTATACTCTGTTCAGGGTATCTAGTGATGCAGATTTTTATAATGGTATAATTGTTATACTCTGGTTCAGGGTATCTAGTGATGTAGATTATTATAATGGTATAATTCTTTCACTGACTACAGAACTAAGTCCAAGAGCTGTGGTTCTGGTTTCTTGCTGCAGGTATCTAGTGATGCAGATTATTATAATCGTATCATTCACTCACTGACTAAAGAAATACATAACTAAGTCTGAGAGCTGTGGTTCTAATTCCTTTCAGTTGTAGCAAACATATTATAACCAGAGCTAGAAGACTCCTGATGACCATTTTGTCATTTTATTAGGATTGTTTGAGTAAGTTAAATTATATTATTGATTAGCAGTGCCTAATTAATTATAGTAGCAGCAATCTCTCCAGGGTTGGCACTCTCTGCAACTATGCCAGTTACATAAGTTCTGTCTAGTCTTTTTGAATAAAATTAAATAAGTCTTAGTAATTGGTACAGATCCCTGTACTCTGTCTACTGTCTGAGCTTGTGCGCCTTGCCTTGTGTAAACAGGTATTGTTAGTACTTGGTCAGCCAAACAAAGGGGATATGCGCATTTTTTTTTTTTTTTAATGGCCTCGTTACTTGCGTTTTCTATTTAGAAATGTTCATGTATTGATTGTATAGACTCCTATAGTTGGACTTTTACTAGGAGTACTACAGACTGTCAAGTTCAATAATACATTTTAAGTGTATTTATTTACTAGTTTCAAAAACTACTTCTAAGTTTTTAATGTGACTGACTTGATTTTAATAATTTTATGGGACCGTTATCGTTATTGACGGAAACTAATATTTAATAATAAAAGTTACTTAATGCACTTCACTTACTTCATTTTTAAAATGGATCTCCTGGGAAAAATACTAACTATGCACTACAAACAAAAACAATTTAAGCTTTTAAAGCAACTTTCGCTTTTGTTTTCACAGGAAGTGGACGCTATTGCCAGGGTTGTGGAGTGATAGGGTGCCAAATTGGAGTGCTCGGCCATTCCTTCCTTTAGTGACGTTTAACCACCAGGACGGCCCAACGAGCAATTAAAACCCGGTGAACAAAGTTCTTACAGAAATGAACATCAGTCTTAATAGTGCTCTTGACAGAGCTCATCAACTACCATTACACCCCCCCCCCAGAACATTTCGATGAGGTAAAATTTGGAAGAGAAGAAGAAGGAGAAGAATACCAAAGTACCACCATTCGGATGATAATCCCGCAGGCGCAAGATTTACAAACCCCGTTCAACCGTAGGTTATATTAGGGTCTCCGACAACAGCCGATGAGATCGGAACGTTGTGAGTAGGGGTCCTAACAGAGCTAGAATTTTTCGAAAAAAAAAAACCTTGGCTCCAGGTCGACCCAGCCTTGAGTGGGTACCAAGTAACGTCCTGGGAAGTAAAGGCGACCGGCGTGACACTGACCACATCACCCACCAAGTGCTGATCGGTCCATAAAATAAAGGTCTAGCCTAGCTCTGTATGCCCAATACGCCTTAAGACGTGGGGAAAAAACCTTTATGGGGACACCCTGGGAAAGGCTTTTTTTTTTAAACACACAAATTGCGTCCCACCCACACTAAGACGAAGTATATGCTACGTATTCCTTCCTGCCTTTTTCCTGCTCCAGCACTACTACCTGGATAAACCATCCATCATAAGATTACAAATTCTCAGTGAAGGTGGTCAGCTAACGGAACATTCAAAATGCCCCCTTCAACCCCCACAGATGTTATAATTATGTCGACTACACTAGCCTGCTATAACAACTCTGTATTTATGCACAGGGCCGTATTTAAGATATGTGACGCCCTGTGCGGTTATTTATTTTACGCCCACTATTTCCCCAACTAACATCAGCATTGCTCGTTTGCAGACTACTAACAATAAATTGTTCAATTATTTACTTCAGTTTTAAACTGTTTTGAAAGATTTACACTTAGCTGGCAGAGAAGTGTATTATTAGTCACATAATATTTTAAACCATTACGCAAAGATAAAATAAAACTGATAATAACAAAATCATGTTTGTGTGACTCAAGTGTACATCATGTCCTTAGCAACAAAGGCAGGAAGCTTTCTGCATAACACATGAATAAGTTGTTTGGACAGTGCTTACTTCCTGCTTTTGAAATGAAGTAAACTAAAGGGTCAGAGAGATCCAGAGAAGTAGATACCAGGGAATGGAGCATATTGTCTGTGACACCTGGGAGTCTCCAAAGTGGTAACTCCTTTGCCCTGGAACCCATTGTTTTATATATAAGCACTCTACAGTCAAGACCACTATGCACGATCAGAAAGTCACTCAACACAATGAATCTTGAGGAGAAAACCTCAGTTTTGATTTTAAAACCAAACCTAAAGTGGACCTGAGTGTACCTATTGGCTAAATGACTTTGGGGTATGCATTCTCGGGTGTGGATATCTGGTTAGCGGTAAGGATGGCACTACACATAAGACTTATCTGGAACATCAAATGCCTCTTCCCTAGCAAGCAAGCTAGGGTTACCGTTTAATTTATTCTCTGAAAAGAACTTTCATATGGATGCTATACCAACAGCAGATATTGCTGGATAAGCCAGACTGACATGTGGGAACAAGTCATACAAAGTAGTGCTGCTAACATGTATCTTAGAACTTATTGGTGATTGGCACCTTTCCGTCTTTACAGAAGATAGTGTTATATTGCGCTATGAGGAGGCATGAGACTCACAGCCCATGGCGATGGCGAGTATGACTAGCAAGACCTGCCCTTGTGAAGAAAAGTCTTCCACAATGATAGCATGGGATTTCAGGACCATTTTTGTCAACACTTGTGTTTAATCCGTTTCTTTTCAAACGCTCAGCTCTCATCCTTTCTGCAATCATTTCTTCCTTCACTCTCATTCCCTTCCTGATATGCCCTTTCCACACAACACGGTCCATGGCATTTTGTTCCCATGAGTCCACCCCAATACCTGTATCATTCATGTCCCACTTGCACACATCTTTATACATACACTTTGCCATCCTCCAGGTGTCACCCAGCCACCTGAGCCTTCGTAGACTGAGCATGGAAAAGACTGTCGTAGTACCTGCTCTTTCCAGTACCTTAGTGTTTGTCATTTTGTCCTGCCACTTAATGCCGAATATACGCCCTCCCCCCCCCCCCCCCCCCCCCCCCAAAAAAAAAAAACCTTTTCTTTGATGACAGCAATGGTATAGCAATGATGTAATGGACAAAACATAAAGTAATTTAATTCTGTTCAGACTGAAGACAGTTCACGTCTTGGTCAGATATGACTGGGCTACCGTATAACAGTAACCTGTACCACCTGTTACGCCGAATGTTGCAAGGCGTATACTAACCCAACAATCTCAAATGTTAGAATAATAGTGTACCTTAAATATATTTACACTGGAACCCGCAGGGTACAATAAGTTAAGGTCGACCAAAATATACACGAAGGAAACCCGACAGGGAAGTTTAAAATATTGCGGCCCGGGGGTGGGTGGGGT